AAATCATCTGATGACAAAAGAGGTCAGTGAAGACACAAGAAGCCATTACTCTCCCTCCACTACCTTCACTTTCTCCGCTAATAATGTTTGCCTAAGCTGGATTGAGGGAAATGAGGTGGAAAATTCAGAGCATGTTGGGTGTGTGTGTGTGTGTGTGTGTGTGTGTTGGGGAGGTGGGGTGGATCCGTTTCGTGTGGTGGGTGGGTGAATCAATTGATTCCTGTTGTTAAGGATGTAGCGACAATGTTTCATCTTAAGATGTCATCTCTCTATCTCACACTCTTTCTTACCCCCCACACACATACTTACACACACACATGCACACACACACACACACACACAGCCTGTTGATGTCAGAAGCAGCAGCAGCAGTAATCCCTGAGCTAGGCCGCCCAGATCATTATAGACTCTGATCTGCAGTCCCTGAAAGAGGGAATTAGCTGGGAACACAATCCCAGCGACCTTTGTGACACGGGGACAAAGGCTCAGCTGCCGGGGGTCCACGTCTCCTAAACCAGCCCATATGGCTCTGACAAAACTGTTACAATGGTCCCTACAATGGAAACACAGTGGGAGGGTCTGCGGTCTGCCTCTGTGTGTGTTTGTCCCTGTAAGATCTGACAGTTTGTCTGTGTCCGTACACTAATATGTTGATCTCAGGTTGTAAACTCTTAACAGGGTGTAGAGAGCTGGTTTGGACACATGCTGTACAAATATTTTCGACATTTCCAGCATGCAGGGAGGTGTTTTGCAGATACTAGGCTTCTCGTCTTTTACAGTTAAAATTAAGACTCGGGTGAGAGGGTGTGCTTGTCCTATACAGCCTATTTCCTATATGTAAGCTTTTCCCCAAGAGCTGATGTGTTTCCTAAGAGCCCCCCTGGTGTGTTCATGCTGAGCAGCTCTTTGTGTTTGGGGCGATTGGAAGAGACCCCCTGCTATGAGAATACACACAAGAGACATGTCTGACTCTCCCTCTATCACACACACTTTCTCTAAGGGTCTGCAGACACTTCTGTTCATGCACACTGACATAAATCATATATTTTAAAAACATATATATTTTTCAAGAAATTTCCTTCCCTGGAAAGACAATTGTCGACATTTATGTTTAAAATGTTGTGCAGAAATAGAAAATAGTGTTGTTAATCCAATAAGGTAAATCTGTCTTATGTGGGATCACTTCTAAAAGCCCAAACAGAGTCCATTGAAATCCTCTGAAATGCAGCCTAACCTCATTAGTTATTACACGTCATGCTATACAAGTACCGTTTAAAGATATCAGACACTTTAAAATTAGTTGGGGTTAACACAAGATCCTGGTCTTAGCTAAAATTATTGCTTTGTTTGGATGAAAGGTGCATGCTGCCGACGGTCGAGGTGAGAAAAGTGAGAAACAAAGTGAAAAAAGTACAAAATTCAACCAAACATAATTATGTTAAACTAATTATGCATGTTATTGAGACTCAAATATTTTAAAACATTTTATAAATTCTGCAAACCAAAAACATAGCCTACACACGACAGCTGTTTGTGTTAGTGTAACAGCAACAAATGCGCAATCGTCACTGTAAAATTAGTTAAAAGCTGTTTTTGAATATAGACTATTGTTAATGACCTGAAGATGTAGTTAGTCATTTTCGCCACCGGAGGGCGCATCCATGAAGATGCTGTCAGAATCCTTCGCTTCCTAGTGCCGTTTTTCCGTATATGTGTGTCACAACACTTTTGAAGTATTTTTATAACCTTTCCAATTTGAGGTTGACAAAGTTTAAAGTTACTAACGAAACCTTTAAAAAATACGGACAACTTAACGATTTTGCCAGTCCTCAAATTTTAAACGACGCAACAATATGGCAACCCAATAGTAGGCAATTAATTTATAATTTCTGTAGCTAATACATATTGGTTATTTATTCACCAGAGTTTTATCTTGTTTAGGGGAGATACAGCCATTTTTCTTTTTTTTTTTTTTAATAGTGAAAATATAGTATTTCTGTTTTCGTGGACCAGAAGTGATCTTTGAATTTCTTGGTTGGGGACTTTAGGAAAATTACATCATTCAAATGTTGTCATTACAACAGAGATGCTAATTAGCGTAACCTGAAACATTTGAAATAAATTTTTTTGCCACATTTTTTTGAGGTTTTAAATTGGCACCAACAATGTCTTAAAGTTTTTTTTGACTTCCAGGCACCAGGATAGAGAAATCTTTGTGCACCATAACATAAACTAAACTTTTCACCTCTTTATGCACATAAAAATGGAGAAATAAGCATGTTATTTAGGGTGCTGTAGAGGTATAAAGTGCTTTTCTTTACATATTTCTGATAGGTGAAAGTTTTTCTTTTTTTGTAGGTTCACTGAAGGAGAAAAATTCTTGGTTGTGGGCTTTTATTACCTTACGTATCAGGACAGTATTTGGAGTAGCAATGAAAAAGAAGGCCTTGCTCTCTTTTTAGATATTTTGCACACACTCCTGTCTGCTCAGGCTTTTATAAAGGCAACAACAGAGTGGATTTTTTTTTATCCTTTTTAATCTATTCAGGAATTTTAAGAGTGGATTCATTTCATTCTTGCCTGAATCAGGCTCACACTTCTTACCTCAAACTTTCTCAGAGTCGCTCCAATAACAAGGAAGGTCATCGATAATAGAGCATCACCTGCTGGATCTTGATTTCTTTTAACAATAAAGCAATTCACAGACAGAAAGTGGTGGGTACTCATGCTGCTAAATGCTTATAAGGCTCCTGTTTGCGCCCATCAGGCCCAGATATTTCTCTAATGGTGCTCGCTGATGTGAAGTGGGTGAGAGAGTGGGCCACTTTTTGCTTCATCAGGTATTTAAAACACAAGAAGGATTACACTAAAATTTCCTGTGCTGCTTTTCAAGGTGAGAATATGAGCCACGATGAGGCTCCACATGACTTTTTTCTTCAAGACCTGTGTCTTTTTTTTTCCACCCATATTAACGTTTGGCATGATCCTCGTCGAGTCAATAGTGTTAGAGCTGAGGTGCATTTTCTCTGGGGGCCATATTCTCTCTTTCTCTTTTCTCTGCTCTCTCTTCTCCGCTCTTCACCCTCTCCAATTAGGGGAGCTCCAGCTGTGCACCCGTCAGGATCAGAGGCTGCTTCTATTAGCCAAATCCATTTGTGTAGCGATTGAATCACTCCCCAATCTTCTCTTTCTGCAGCCCCCTGCCCACCCCTACAACCCCAAATACACAAACGCGTCCATACACACACGCTTTTACCATGCCCACACACGCACACACACACACACACACATCTTCCTGAGAGCTCCATAAACCCAAATAAGAAACAAAGCAACCAAAACAAAATCAGGGGGAAAAAAAATGAATTTATTATAAAGCAAAGTGAAGTAGTATTATTTTCCAATTACCATACAGTCAAATTATTTGTACTTTGTAGTCAGTCTTGGTGTTGAATGCAACTTTTTCTTCTTTTTAAGCATTAAGACATTGATTTATTTTCATATTTTATATCTGTGCAAGTACAACAGCAAATAAATGTCAGAACTGAAATTACTTTACCTTCTTAAAAGCGTGGTTGACAATTATTATAACACTTAAAAATATATAAAATCAATGATTTTCATGTATAAACAAAGTAATGGATAACTGCTATATTTAGTTGGGTTAGTAAAACTCCAAAATAGTTTGCTGTTAAAGTTGAAACTGAGATTTAAGAGATTTATAAATGAGTTTTTTTCAATGTTAGAAAGGTGCCGTATATCGAATTTACTTCAAAATAAAATGTTTAATAGTTTAAGATCTGCTGAATTCACTAATCCAAAATATAACAATTAAATTTTTGTTTATTTTATTAAAATTTTTAGCCCTGATTCTGTAGTATACTACAAATTTATAGTATACTTCAACACATGAGAAGTGTATTGTTAAATTCACAGATCGCTATACATCTTTAACTGCGGTGTCTCTCTGATCTATCTATATCTATATGTATATATGTGTATAGATGTTTTCTGACCTCTACTACTTTTTGTAGTTTCAACAACATACACACACTCTTGCACACAAGACGCAAAGTTATCCCTGATCTGAAATCCTTCCCCATCCTCGATAGATTTCCCTCTTCACTCCAGGAGGGGGCACAATTGTGTAGGAGCTGGTCACAGGCCAGCCATTCATCACGCTGTTATTCATGTGATATAAAAAGCCTGTCTCTGCAGTCCTGTTCCTTACACAGTCACATAAAAAAACACACACACCGTTTCTCCATCTTTGTTCACTGTATGCTAAAAGACCTCTTGACCCTTTGCCCTGAAGACTGTGTTAACATGCTGCCAAAATGTCTCTTTTTTTCTTTTGCAAAATAATACAAAAATGTTGGGTGAAAAGAAGCAGAGTATGTGGTCCTTCCACAGAGTCATCGAATTCAAACTCACCAAGGTCAAGTCTTTTGTAAATCCTCTCTCCATCAAGTGTACTTTCCTGTCTACCGCTCGCTCTGGCACTGTTTTTTATTTCTACCCTGGTTCTGCCCATGTCTCACACTCACACGTATACACACCAGCTTTTTCCTTTCTCTCCCCGTCCTTCTTTGCTCTCTTGAGTGACAGCCCCTGGTCCCAGTCACTTCAAAACAAAAAACTTCAGAGAGGCACCAAAGCTGAATGTAAATAGATGATTCCTAGACTGGTTTAATGGCTCGCGTAATTAAGATGTGGGATTTACTCCAGTTGTAAAACAAAAAAAGAGCAACCTCAGCCTGGAGAAACAGTAACTTGAGGAATATAAGTTGCACATTGAACCACCTCTCGCTTTAAAAGTCACGGGTGAGTTTGACGAAGGGTGTGAATTAAAACAAATGAAAAAAAAAAAACAGCTCAAGATAATCCTTCAATGAGTCAGTGTGCCAATCCTTTTTCAAGTCCAACTCTTAAAATAATAGCTCCAGAAACTCTATGAAGAAGTGTTAAAAAAGCAGCCCTGAATATCTGAGTATTATTTTCAACCTCTGCAAAGTCTCCATTTAAGAACAGCTGAAACTCTAAATTAAGGTCATGCAAAGTTAGCTCATTTGGAGTGGTAATTTGAGTTTTTTTGTGATTTATTGAACACTTTGTGGATCGTTAGTCAATTTAAGCTGATGTGAAGAGTTCATAGCTGGTTATAAGACAGACTGAAACCATTACAGATGCCTCTATGTGACAAGTTTAGATAAAAAATGTCACAATGAGAAAGGAGGAAACCAGACGATTCATAAGATCAGTAACAGTTTGTGATTCACAGTGAGTTATTTGGGAGACAGTAACATGAGATTCATCACAATAAGGAAAAAACCCACCCATGCAACAATACTGAATCAACAAAAATACATTTAACAAATATATCCACAAGAATCAACAAGATTAACACAACTTGAGAGTTTTTTCCCTGAAAAATAAATAGCTTTGATTCAAACTGTTAAAGCACATAAGGTGTATGTTACAATCTTGAACGTGTCATTATTTCCATTATTGAATGACTAAATCTTCTTTTTACTGTTGACTCTTAAAGCGGATGCAGTTTATCCTCCGGTTTTGCTACACCCATGATGTGGAGGAATTTCTGCTGATGGCTAAACTGTTACAGGAAACATAAGTTGTTGTACAGTTTTACAAATATGTGTGCTTACTGTCTTTTAAGGTTTTTTTTTAACATAGTGTGCAGTAGTAGTTGTGTTGTTTTTTTTACATGTCAGTATTGAGTGTCCTCCTTCAGTCCAGTCTAAACTGCAGTTCCACAAGTGTCCACTGGAGGCTGGCTCCAAAAGTGCTAGAAGCATAGACTGCATATAGAGTGGACGCCGTCTGCCTCCTCGCTGGATAAAGCCACTGCGAGAACAGCACCCTCTGGTGACGGGCTGCAGTACTGGTCGTAAATCCAGCCTCCTCCAGCAATCTCTATGGAGTTGTGGACAAATATGAACATGTTTACAGCCTGATACAGGAATAACAGTCTGAATAGCAGGCATCCCTATCCAAACACACTTCAGAGCTTTATGTCGAAGATAAGTTTGGCCTTGCGAGGGGAATAGCTGACCTGACTGACAGGTGGAAACTCCAACTCTCCGACTCTTGCTTGTTGACTTAAAGTGAGGGTGAGTCAGCATTTTCCCAATATGACAACTGCTCATAATAGGCTTCAAAACTCAGCTTCAGGAACAAACAGTTGATGTCCAAAGACTGTATATTAATAAAAAAAAGGCCATAAACCCGCCTCCCCATGTTAACAGATGGAACTGGGACCATACAACAAAATCAACACATACACATTTATAAAATTTTCTCAAACATGGTTTCTGTCTTTATGGTTAGTTCTTATGATGCTCATTTATGTTGTGTATGTAATTTTTATCTTTTTTAGTTCGTATTAGGTGTTTGATTTTAAAAAGATGGTTGATCAACACCTTTGTCGTGACGCAAGCCACCTTGGGGTTCTGTATCAGATTAACTAAACTTATCTCAACTTTACTTATATAACACATTTATTTCGTTATCATTTGTGATTGACCCAGGCTACCTTCACTACAGCTGTCCCAAAAATGTCTGGTTTTTCCCCTGTTATGTGTTTTTAGATTACCTGATACGAGATAAAAAAAGACAAAAATGAAAAACACCGGACAAAAATTCTGAGAGGAAACAGCATATATCGTATGATCAAATTATACATCCTTTCTTATACATGATCTCTTGGAAATTCCCAGACTATTCATGATTCATTTCCCGACAGCATGTATAGGGATGTGAAGGAAGTGTACCGACTGTGAATTGAGGGAAGTACGCAGAATTCTGCTCAATAAGATCATGTCATTGTTCTTACAGTGAAGCTTTTTGGTACCTGCTGTCTTCACACCTCTGCTCACATCGACACCTTGCAAATTTTTAGTTGAGCAAACAGGAAAAGTCTGGAGAAAGTTGAGCTGAACAGATGCTGCTGTTTGCCCCCACACTTGCACCCGACCAGCACAATGTCTGGACATTTCCAGGAGTGCAGCTGCATATCTGAAAGGGTCCATACTGACCCTTTTTCTATCTAACTGGACTCAAAGTAATTTGATGAAAACAAACATTGGTGGTAACCTTGCAGATTCTTCTCCTTTTCTATGAACCACATAGAAGGAAAACATTTGGAGATTGAGGCAGTGAATGTATTCCTAGGGGAGCACACCTGATCCGCCTCACGCTGATGTATTTTCCTGCCCGATTGTCAGCCCACTTCACCCCCAGAAGTTCAAGCCTGAGAGAAAACCTCTGCTGCTTCTGATGACATGAGTTTAAGAAAAATAGCTGTGGCTAAAAGGCTTGGCAAGGTGTTCTGCATGGGCATCCGAGTGTGTTTGTTTGAGGGGGCACACTTGACCTCGTCCCTCTCGAGGAGCGTTGGAGGAGACAGTGGAGGGCTTCTCAAGGCTGTCAGTCACAGTTTTTCCTCTCATGGAACCTTTGCTGCTGCTGCTGCTGCTGCTGCTCGAAGCTCCACACATTTAAAAAAAAATGAATATATTGACATGTTAAGTGTTTGACTTTACACCTCTGTTCCTACACAGGGATGGCTTGACTGGGTTTCTGTACTCAATTATGATAATTGACTATTTTTTATCTGCGTTCTTTTTACCTTTCAGTATAATTTGCTGTAGGAATATTTAAAATCTGAAAATGAAAATTTAAACCAAAACATTTCATCCTTAGACAAACAGAATGAGATGTTGCGTTACTTTTTAATTGACTTTTTTCATTTTTCTGTATTTCTCTGCTTAAATTTGTAAAGAAGTGCTTCAAAAATATCATTACACATAAATCATTAGATTAGTATTTTTCTACTCTAAAACAAAAACTAGAGATGGTGGTAAATGGTATATTGTATTATACTGATTTGTACTGCACAAGTCAGTTCAACCTTTATTAATATAGCACATTGAAAAAAAACAACCAATGTTGACCAACTAGCTTTATAAAGAAGAAACAGGAAAACAAGAAATATTAATATCATATCGTATCGTATCATATTGTATCGTACCATAGTGGATCGTATCGTATCATATTGGATTGAAATGTATCGTATAGTACCGTATCGTATTGTGATGTATCGTATCGTATCGTATCGTATTTGATCGAATTGGATTGGATGTGATCAACTCAGTTTGTGTTTGATCGTATCTTATTGTATCGTACCCGTTTAGATTGGATTCGATGAGATCAGATCGGTTTGTGTCTAATCGTCTTATTTCAAATTGTATCGTGTTGTATTGTATCATGTCATATCATATCAAACAGTACTGTATTGTACTGTATTGTATCATACTGCATGTACAATATTGTTATATATCATAATGTATTGTATTGTATCATATAAATTTTATCATATCTTATTGTATTATACCTTATAGTGTTAAATCTTATCATATTGGATCTTGTATTATTTTAGCATTTAGTATTGTCTTGTATTATATTCCATATTGAATTATATCTTATACCTTATTGGATTGTATCAAAGCAAATTGTATCGTTAATTTTGTCTGCTTTGCTGTTGTTTTTATTCAAACATATGATTGCCTGTCTGCACCTGCTATAACGTTATATATATATATTTTTGTGGTTTATGTATTATGTGCTGTATTCCCCGCTGTCTAACGAAGGACAACGACCGCAAATTAGCCACGGCTAGAAGTCCCGCATACACACCATCGGTTGCTCTTTAATTAGCTCCAACAATGCCTGATGTACTATCCCTGTAAAATAAACGAACAAAGGAAAAAAATTGTATTGTAACGTATTTTTTCACACCTCATAGCGAAACACTGAAAACACTGTACTGCTATATGAAGTGGCAAAAACATTGAAAGGTTTTTATTGCTTTAATGAATATACAAATTAAAAACCAGGCTGTAGTGTTATTAATAAAAGGATTAAAATAATCATAGATTTCCTAGTTTTCTGGTTGATGACAAATTAATTGACTTGTTCCCTTTGGGAAGGTTGAGTCAAGGACTGAGCATCCACTTAATTTTAACAGAACATTTTGCCCTTTGTAGTACTCTCTGAATATAAAAAATACAGTTAAATTCTTCAGTGTACTCATTTTTGAAAAGTTGTGTTCAACCAGTCGTCAGTAACCAAGCAACGTACAATATACCATTGTGCAACATCCCCTCATAAAGGAAAGTATGAGCTGCCGTCCTGGAACTTTAAATGAGGCCTTTAACTTAGTTTTGCTTTCACCCTCTCTCATCACTCTGGAGATGATAGTGCTGATTGTGATTTGTATTTTCAAAGCTGGGGCGGGAAAGTAAGTGGGTGTTGGGTGGGGGGGGTTGGGGGGTGTAGGTGTTTTCAGCAGAAAAAGACAATACAATTAAATGATTAATGCACAGCGGGGCCTCTGACAATTAAAACCATTATAGAAATTAAAATGGCATTATGTCACAGTGGAAAGCTGATGATACCCGTGTCGTCTTTTTAAAAGCAATTTTCATAATTCCAATAATTGAAATTACGGCATATTCATTCATTTACTGGGTGAGGAGGGCTAAGAGCGGCTACTAATGAAATGCAATCATTAGCATCCAAACAAAGTAATTGGGTAGTCTTTTATCCTTGGAGATAGGTGATAAGGCACAATCACCCCCGTCACCCCCCTCCATCAAAATGCAAAAGCAAGTAATTAAAGTGCAGACAAAGATGAGACCAGCGCTGCTGCTGCTGCTGCGCTGTTGCACCTCTGAAAACAGCGCTGATTGCCTGATTAGAGACCTTACTGTACCCTCTGATTCTGTTTATGGATACTCTGACATTCATGGGGAGGAGAAGGGTTGGGGGCACAAAGGGTGTGGATTATAAATTTGTTTTGGAGTGTCTTATGAGCTGGGCAAAGAGGATTTCTATCCTTCCTACTTTCATTGTGTTGATCCCGGTGACCTTATCTCTTACTCTGTCCTGCACACATGTCGTTTTTTTATGTCAAACTTATCGAATCTTCTCTGTCGAATATGTAAATAAGCATCCTTCTGTGTCCCATTCGAGTGTTAAAAGTAACTTAATAGTTGATTTTTAGAGGTGATATAGATGCATCAAAACAAGGACTCAAATGTGCTGCATGTCCCAACCATCATTTGTTAAAAAAAAAAAAAAAAGTAAATAGAGAAAAGTATTTTAAAAAGTTGTTGCAGATGAAGAAAATCCATAGCTGAGGGTAAAATGTTGAATGTATATGAAGACTTTCTCTCTACCACGACCTGAGGACTTCCTCCTGCCAGTGATGGAGCTCGAATTCACAACTAAACCCACATTTAGCCCTGTTAGCTATTAGCTCCTTGTACATACTTAAGTTAATGGAAAATAGTGCTGGTGTGTGTGTTACAATTACCAACCCACTCTGGAGGACAGAGCAACAAGAAAAAAAAAAAGGGGGCTGACGGGTGAAGGTGGAAGAGGTGAGGCGGAGAAGAAGAGAGAGATTGAAGTGAGAGGAAGATGGGCACATGAAGAGTCTTGAGAAAAAGAGCCTCCTTCTTACTCGTCCCTCTAGAGGGGACACCATTCTCTCTCTTTCCTTTTCTTGGCTACCTCCTCTGTGGTGTTAGGGCGCTTCTCCCCGGTATGTCAGCCCACCCTCCCTCCTCCCTCTACGGCCTCCTTGGAGAGCGTCATTAGGCCCTCCTGGAGGGGAGTCAAGAATATAATGCAAGAGGGGCCACCTTCCAAAAAAGAGCCCGGTGGAACCTTTTCTCCTTGTGTCGTCCCCTCATTAACACTTTCAGACTTCAATCTCACCTCTTCCTCTTCTTCGATGTCATTCCAGCTCGTGCGGGGAGCCCATTTCTTCCTGGTGGGGCGGAGAGCCGTCATATCCACCCTCCTCCCATGGCCCTCGCTTGGTATCTCCACCTTCCTGTGAGATGGACTGATGAGAGGATAACAAAAGGACCTGGAGGGGAAAGAAACTCCTCTCCTTATGGCCTTGGCCCTGAAGACCACCATTCCATTTTGCAGCTTGTGAAAGTAGGGCTTTTCATCTCAAAAGATCAACACATTTCTCTCCTGCAGGCACCTACACTATTTCTCTCTCCCATTTTCTCCCTCCTCCTCCTCCTCCTCCTCCTCCTCTCTCTATACACCTCTCTCTCTTTCTTACTCCTTGGCAAATGGGAAAACTGTCCTTGGTTGGATTCTGTTTTTCAAAGGATTCAATTCTCCTTTGTACACACTTGATCTGACCCTGTGACAGGCATTAAGTGTGTCTTCTGCCTGATACAGAGGGCTCGTGCTCTGTGTGCTGATGGACATGGCCATTATCACACAAGCACAAGCAGACTCTCTCTCTCTCTCTCTCTTACACACACACACTTGTTCAAGTGCTCGTACACGCACCCACACACTCATGAACATACCGCACATTTGTATGCATTCACTTACCACTCGAATGAATATGCACGCAGAGCAGACGTACGCAACTGACTAACTTGTTCAGTCTATTCTTCGAGACGATGCGCGGGGAATAACTGCGAATGCTGAGCGTGAGTTTCAGTCGGGAGTTGAGTGAGAGTTAAAGAGGTCAGAGGTGAGAAAGATTCATACCTGATGAGAGATAGGATCCTGGTTTTTAGTCGTTGAATTAAAGATATTCTTAAGAAGTCTTAAACCTCCAGGGTCATCTAAGGGCACCAACATCTGCACCACCTTGTCCCTACGGAAGCACAGGATGGACAAACTAGTTACAGTATGTGCACTAAAAAAATTGACTTCTACTTTGTATTTTTAAGACTCAGTAAGAACTAGAATTTCTGAAGTAAAATGAAGCTTTTTTTTACGTAACACATGAATTATGGGGGAAAAGAAAGTTTTACTTTGGTTTCCTTACACTATTTAAATGTTGAATAGTTTTATTTACATAAACCTACAAACACTACATAAACTTTACTCTGAAAGTGTAGCGTTTTGAAACAACAGGCTCAGACATAATAAGATCACAGCGCAAGGTAGGGCCTGCCTTCCTTCACCTCTGGCTAGAAGTGCTGGGCTCCAATTGGTTATTGCTAAGGCTGTGAAACGTCATCTTCAGTCAGGTTAGGGTCAGGGTTAGGTTAGGGGTTAGAGTTAGGGTTAGGAGATTCAGAGGTGTGATAATGTTCTGTAAAGTTCTGTTTGATGTACAGAGCCGACAGCCCGTGTTTGGCTTGAACGTGTGATGACATTTCCAGCTTTTCTAGCCAATCAGAGGCGAAGGAGTCGGGACTTTCCCCTACCGCCCTACAAAAAAAAAAAAAAAAAACGTATTGCGCCCTGGACACCAGTTTGGGAACCAATGCTCCTACATGTTGTCAGGCAACTCAGAGTCAATCATTTATTGAAAGATCAGTCATGATCACTCATGTTAATGAACCTGAAATTGGTCTTACACTTTGACTAGGTGTACGATGTTTCTCTTTTTCTTAGATGAAGTTGTGAAAGCAGGAAGCAAACAGAAAGCTTTTTAAGTACGAAGGCCTTCAGTTAGTTCATCCTTTGAAAGAAGAAGCTGTATAACAGGCAGCCTTTGTGAACATGATAAGATCACTGATGCTTTTATGCTAAAAATAGTCAGAAATCTGCTCAAGTATACTTATATGTATGTACTCAGTCTAACAGAAGAAAGCTGACTTCTTCGTGAACAACTTCCAGAAGTTTCCGTTGAAGAAGAATTGAAATCAACTTACAGACAAAAGGACACAGGCCTTCGTCTGCCCTGATTTAAACCCTCAGAAAAAAGCACATATCCCCGTCACTTGTTCCCATCTTCTTTCTCTGCTTTACCTGTCTTTTCTCAAAGCTCTTTAATTTTCTGTGATTTCTCTCTTGTTGCTGTGTCTCACAGCTGATACAAAAACCCAGCCAGTGTTGAAAAGGCAAAAAATGAGGGAAAGGGAAGACGGAAGAATGCGTTTGATTAGCACAAGTTTTGCTGTTCGCCGCAGTCTGTCTGAGAGCCGTGGAGCCATTGTGTTTCCTCGCTCGTGTGTGAACGTTACAGCGAGCAGAGAGGCTAAAAAAAGACAGCCATGGGAAACATGCACACTGACATTTCTTAATCAAATATGGCAATCAGGGGGCCAACCAACAGCGTACCATTTGCAATCCCTTTTAATTCATAATCAAAAGCCGAGCAAATGAGGGAGAAATTGAGAAAGAGAGAGAGAGAGGGGGGGAAAGTGAGAGAGAAGGAAAGAGATGCAGGTCATTACATCTCTTTTTACTGGCCCCGATGAGAGCCATGTAGAATTAATCAGAGGCCATTAGGCTGTATTTACTTACCACTGCAGGGGCTCACATCTCTCTCTCCCTCTCTGGATACAAACCCTGATAGGACCCTGCTCTGCTCGACCCTGCAACACAAGATGGAGAGCAGCTAAGAATAAGGGCATAACGAGAACGATTCTGTGAGTGCGTGTGAGCATGCACAAGAGCCTGTGCATGTGTGTTCGTGGACATAATGCTGCATCGGTCGGGTGCTGTGTGTTGTTCAGAGAGGAGGAGAGGAGCTGGAGAGATGCTCTTAAATCAGAGTGTGTAATCCCCTGTGGGGTCAGCCTAAGACCTCTGATGTTGACTCACAACTCAGGCTGTCACACATCTCTCTCTCCCTCTCTTGCCTAATGCACCGCTGCCATTACTCACCCAGAGTCGGCTGGGCCAAAACCTACATAAAAACACACAAAAAATGGGGCCTTGTTCCCAAAAAACATCTTTGTGCAAAGTTAGTGCCGTTTAAAGAAAATTTTAAAAAGGCGACCTTCAGGAGGTGCAACTCGTAGCTTTTTACGATTAATGGATATGCTCGACTTTTTAAACTTTGCAGGTCAGTTATGTGAAGAGAAAAACTTTTGAGCTCCTGGTTTGAATCAGAAAAAGTGACTTTACGTTCAAGAGAATCAAGAGTTTGGAAATAATTAATTACAAGTGAAAGTCCAGTCTTTAAATTGAACCCAGAATCTTTTCATACATTTAGGTTCAGAAATATAGAGTGATTATCTTTTATTAAGGGGTTACAAATAATCTGGGTTGGCCTACATATTCAGCCTCATAACTGAGAGGTTGTAAGCAAGGTGTCTTTGCAGGGACCAAAACTATCTGTCTGCCAGAACATTTAGAGCTAATCTCTGGGAGAGTCAAGACTTATCTAAACAAAGTGTTGAGTTTCAGAACAGTACAACACATCATCATGGGTAGCCTCCTGGAGGATAGATATGATGTACTCATGATGACAGAAGACTCATGCACACACACACTTATCAGAGGTACAAGCAGCACACAATGACTGTATTCAGGTACACAACGGACATTATAAAAGGGAGAAGGAGAAAATCTTAGGAGGTTTTCCTCGGGTTTGGTCGAGACTCTGTTTGTCATCTGTACTGATTTCTAAATCTATACAATAAAAGACGCCCAGACTGTTCTTCAGATCTCATCCTGTCTCCTGTGAATTGTTTTACTAAGTTTATGTTGGATTTTCCACAACAGCCATTTTATCTATATTATTTTTTGGGTTTTGTTTTGTTACTCGCACAATTACCACAGGGGGCACTTCAGGTGAATTGGCAGGTAAATGCTACAAAGAGAGACAGGTGAAGCAGTGATCTGGGGCAGTGGTTCTCAACCTGTGGGTCCCGACCCAAAAGTGGGTCATGAACAGCTGGTCAAAAATAAAATTAAATACGCTTTTTCATGGTCTTTATTTTGTGCAACTTGATATTTATTCACTTTTGTCCGTGCTGTTGCATGGTCCTCCTCAGGTTCCTCTGAATATGCTCTGAGTGCAGAAATGCAAATACGTCAAATTTTTCATTTTGCTGGTCTCCTTTTTTTGCAATTTGATAATTTCTGTATATGCAACTTTAGTAGTGTTCGTCCTCAGTTCATGTGCTCTGAAATGCACTTTACTCAATAAAAAAGGTGTATTTATGTCAAAGATTTGAGTCTTTAAAGGTTTATTTGTCAGAAATAAATTTGTTTGGTTTGAATTTAATAAAAGTGGGTCGTGATTTAAGGACCATGAGAAAATGTGGGTCCCAGAGTGAGACCAGTTGAGAACCACTGATATAGGGAACGGGAAGAGCACACAGTTTCACAGTTTTAATCTTTGACACCACTCTCACCCTTATCAAAAACATCACCATCATAGTAAGTTGGACATATCTGTCTTTTTTTGTTTGTTTTTATTTAATCAATAAAGGGCAAAAATATGAATCAACAACAACCTTGGATTGGACACTGGATTGTATTAGAAGCGCGTCAAAAACACCTCACTCCTGCACCCTGACAGTAAATAAAATTCAGGTCAGCATAGTCACTACACCAGCTTTAAGTCAAAACAGTAAAAGAAGAGTGAAAGCACCCTGACTGTTGTACGAATTAATTTTGTACTTTTTATTCTGTGTTCATCATTTTTGCACCAAAAACACCAGGACTCATGAATTTGTATACATTGATATAATGTGAAGATGATCTCGAGGTAGATAATGGATCAATCAGCTACTTATCTTATACATCAGGATAGCTAATGGGATGCTGGTTTAGGTCAGTAGTTCAAGTGTGTCCCATCCATGTACAGCCGAGAGGGGTGCACACTCTGAAGCAGTCCCAGGGGCCCCCATTCGTACCCTCAGCCTCCTGCAGCATGCCATCCCTCCATCTCCTGTCCTTTAAAAGAAAGATTAAAAGCATCATCTAAATAACAGCTGCGAAAATGCCAATTCAAGCAGAAAGCAGCCCACTTTGTTATATGGAACGGCTGTCTAGGTCAGGGTCAAATCGGGTGATTATTTTGAGTACAGATATGTAACTGTTGGGGAGGAAACCCGTATTTATGTTGAAGAACTTTTACAGCTGCATTCTCGTCTATGAGGGTTTATGATGAAATCAGGAAAAACTATTTAAGACTCACTTAAACACTGTTGATTGGAGGTGCAGTTTCCTCCCGGTGGTTAAGTTGTGCTCCTAACGGACTGAGGCGACAGTCCTTAAGGGGAAGCCGGGGTTTCAGCCGATATGGCTCCTTTCCTACATACCACTCATCACTCTCTCTCTCTCCTGCTCCTTCCAATATGGTCTAAAAACATATATTAAGAGTTAGATGTTTACAAGTGATTTTTCCTTGAGACAATCTGTGTTTTGCTTCGTATATCAACTCGTCTAAATTAAATAAAAATGTATATATTACACACCTCTATCTGCACTGCCTCAAAGTGACGTTTCCTGTCATTATATAGTGAAATCAATTAACAAATTCAATGAGCAAAACCAAAAACAATTTAAAACTTCGTAACAAAGAAGTTTGCAAAAAACTTTAAAGACCCACTCCAATAAAAATCCATTTTTTCTTGTTTTTTATATGCTCATATGTTCATTTTTCTGATGTTACAGGACATATCAGGAGAAAAATAAATGCGAAATTGAGTAATTTCTGAGTATTTCTTCATTCAAATCGCTGTGAATCTCTGGCAGACCCAAACGGCAGGTTCAGGAACAGTGAGATTTCATATGTCACAAATCCAAGCTCCGCCCCCAGAGCCCCACTATGCAGGCCACACTCTGCATATAGAGGAGAAATAGAGAGGATGATCACAGAACAAGTGTGTGTGTTAGCAGATTGCAATGCTTGTAAGAAATCTAATTATGATATTAACTTTCATCGTGTCCGTAAAGACATTAGTGTCTGGGAGCTGAATAGCTCCTATGGTACCTGCCACTTCTACTAAATTGGCAATGTTAGGTTGCAAGCTAACGTGACGAGAAGTGTGCTGAGTACAGATAAAGGGAGTCAATAAAGCCTACATTAATGACTGATAAACTGCATTAAAAAGTGTGTACATGCAGGCCTATAATCATTTTGCTGATTATGTCTAAACCCGCTGAGCTATAGACGGCTATTAGACGTCTAGTTTTTTTTAATAACCTAATTTCAAATGTCTAGACGGAATTTAGACGTTGACGACCCATTATTCAACGACTATATATTAAAAAGCAACCATGAGTTGCATAACTGATCTCCAAGTACTTCACCAAAATAATCATGATACTTTCATTTTTAGTCCTGTGGTAGCCTGATTTTAGACCAGTCGTCTAGGCTACATTTAGACGTCTATTAGACCTCTATTAGACAAAAAAAAAATGCTCAGTGGGAAGGGTCAGCTCTAAATGACCACAGAGGTTAAAACTCCGAGTGAGACGGCTCTTCAAAGCCGGCTGACCACACCATTACAGCACAAACCTCCTCAAACAACTGATAGTGAGACAAAGGAGGCAGAGCATACTTTCTGTGGGCGATATGAGCAAACAGTTAATGACGTTGACTTAAGATTACACAGGCTCACCGCCAAAGGAGTCTGTCGTGGAAAGAGAAAGAGCAAGCAGAGAAGAGAAATAAGGGAAAGAACAAAAGGAAAGGCTTTAGTCATTTAGTCGACATTGTTGTTTGTCTGTTTGTTGGGTGTGTCGGAGGAGTGGAGGAATGCTGTGTTCAGAAGTGAATAATTTGCTCAGGCTTTGAATGGCATACATACATGGTTAAGCTCTACCTGCGCACAAAGGCTCGTGGAGAAAAACACGTCGTGAATAAAAGATAATTAGAAAAAGAAAATGTTCTCAAACAGTGTCGCTCATCAAGGAATTCAATAAGTTGATTTGGGGACAAAGAACGCTTCTTCATGTGCATCATGTCAAGTGGATCGAGTTCATGGTTTTCAGAGGATTTCGCCGCATATTATGAACAAATAGAAGAAAAAGTCTCGGCTACAAGTGAGAAACACAGCCTACTGAAAGAGAAGTGACAATATATCCTGATTTATATCAAGAAAGAAACTTTTGTTCTGGTTTGGATGGTCGTTTCATCAGCTAAAGACCAAAACAATGACATTTAGCTTCAAGTCCTTCACAGATGGAGTCAGTCCGTCCAAATTATAGACAAACAAGAAGAACAACACAAAGGAAGAAAAGGAAGTATTCATCTCTTTTTCTTTCAGCTCCTGTGGGGAGTTTCTACCTGGTTGAGAAACTTTTTTAAATTAATATCAACTCCAAAGAGCAACAAGGTTAACCATTTCTATATGGTCATATTTAACGCCTGATTTATACAGACTCTGTAATAGATAACGGACGAGATGTACTTGGACTTATCTATGCGAGTACAGGACAAAGAGATGAGAGGTGTTTCTTTGTCCACAGAAATGTCAACAACGTCAACACAAATGGAAAGTAAAGAAAAAGCAGTAATACTGTGGTTTAAAAAAAGAAGCGTTTCAATGAATAAATCTTAATTAAAATGTGTGAGTATGTTTAGTACCGAGGCAAAGCTTCAGATCTAGTGGGAGGAGGTTAAAATAAGTTTTTAACAACACTGACAGATTATTTTCAAGCTGTTTTAGCAAATGAGAGCAATTCACCTGCAACTCGTACATCTAATGTGGACTGATCAGCCTACAATATTTATTCAGAGTCACCAGTCACTGTCCTTGTAGCTCTATTTTGTTCTCCACCACCTATTCAAAGAAATATCTCACTGACTTAACTGTTGTGGGTGAACTGGCACTTTCAAGTAGTTTTGTACCTTAAAGTAAGAGCAAATTTTTAAAAAAGCGTCATTTTCTTCATGGGTAAAGTGTTTATATCCAGTGGGTGTTGCAGTGTGTGTGACCTGAAGCTCCTTAAAGTTTCCCTCCTCTCAACTCTCCTCCTCCTCCTTCCCCCCAACAAACACAGACTCAGACGTCTGTCTCTGCCACACAGATCCGACTGCAGCCGCGCCGTAAAAAGGCACTATGACAACTGCAGCTGATTCCTCCCAGAACGTGTAATTTTCTCATTTAGCTCACAAGCGTTCGGCCCGACACCAATTAGCACGGGGCCCTGACCTCGGATGTCTGTAGCAG